TATGCTTATCAGCTGAACTGTGCTAACAGGACTGCATGCCCATGTTCAAACTCAACAAAAAATACACACTAATTTCGTGTGATTATTTTTGGCAGAATAAAGAGCTGCTGCTGTGGTCTAAGTCACAACTTGCTGTTATAAAAGGACGAGATTTAACATTCAAAAATTTCAAAGGTGGCAACGCACATTTACAGCAAGTTTGGATCCATCTTTCCACAAACCTTTGCGTAAAATCTTGTGTTTCATCATGGACAAGGCATGAACGGCAACAGAAGTCATTTCAGAAACATCACCTCTATAAACCCAGTTTTATAACTACACATTAAGTCGGAGAGTAAGACGTGCTTAGAAGAAATGTGACAATGTAATGACTATTCTCTCAATAAATAATTGGGTAATCACTTAATGAACACTATTTAATGAAAACAGTAATAAAAACCAAGCCTCTGCATTTGCATATTCCCTCTATTCCCAAAGCCGGTATTTTCTTTCCTTGAGAGCGGTAAATGTATCCATGGAAATACCCGGAAGCACACAGTCCGTACTTAGAACCATTTAACAAGAGAACAGGTAGGGGAAGAGAGAGACCTTTCCAGCCCACTGCTTTTCCCAGGCCATTAGCAGAAAGCGGGACCATCGGTCCAGCAACCAGGACATAACAGATGCAGGCGTCCCGGCCCCAAGGCCAGCCTCTTAAAACTTTAAGAAGAGTTCTAATATTTAAACAGTGTGCATTAGCAACTTCATTAGTGTGTCAGAGGGGCAGGCAGGGGGCGAAGCTGCATTGTGGGACATCCCCACCCCGTATCTGACACGGCCCTCCCGCCCACCTCCCTGCCAGTCCACTCCGGGAAGCGGTAGGTACTAAGTACCAGTACTTAGGCCCTGCCGCCAATGCAGCAGACAGTGCCAGAGCTCGGGGCTCCTGGCTCCAACCCTGACTGTTGGGAGCATTCGGGGAGAGAACCAGGGGATGGAAGATGGCTCTTGCTGTCCGCCTTTCAAGTACGAAAAAAAAAAAAAAACAACTTTTCTAAGTTATATTAACAGGAGTTTCAAGTGAGTACAAACTTGAATACTTGAAACCTGTCACGTCTGATTGTTCTGGATGAAGTCCAGAAATTAGAACCTACAGTGGCCCGGATACTGGATTAAGGCAATGAAATCCATCTTGATTCATTTATTCTTCGTCCACGCGGGCGATCGAGCCAGTCTGGTGCACGCAGGCACCCTGCCGGGCGCCGCCGAGCCGAGGTGCGGCCAAGGCCGCAGGACGCCAGAGTGGGGCCAGGGCTGCCCAGGCGCGGAGCAGGCAGAGGAGGGTCGCCCGCTGGACCCGAGGAGCGGCCCACGTGAGCGGCGGCTTGTGCTGACGTGTCCGAGTCCGCAGGCGGGCGCGCACGGGCCGCGTTGCAGCTGCAGATCCCGGCCGCCCCCGGCCTCCTCGCGGGTGCCGGGCCTGGCCGCAGACCCCCGGGTCCCGCGCGTCGCTCCGGGCTCCGCACTTTCGGGGGCCGAGAGGGGCGCGATCGCGGTGGGGCGACCTGCGCCCCGCGCAGCAGGAAGTGCCCACGCGGGGCGGCGGCGCGGTCCTGCCCGCACTCACCTGCACGCCGAGGTGCGCCAACCGGGCCTCGAGCTCGGGCTCCAGGGCCAGGAGGAAGGAGGTGGCTCGGGACGAGGAGCCGCCGCCCGGGTGCGCCAGGACGATCTCCGCGGTCACCTTGGCCAGGTGGCTGCTCAGGTCCACCGTGCGCTTCACGTCTTCGTTGACTAATGGCGGTGGCTCCGAAGAGGCGCTGCCGGGCGCCGGGGCCCAGGCCCCGAGCACCAGGAACAGAAACAAGCAGGCGACGGGCGCCTCCATGACCCGGACCGAGTGAGCGCCTGGCCGGGCCGAGAGCCGCCGCCGCCGCCCCGCCTCTCGCCACCGCGCAGCCTCTCATTGGGCGCCGGCTGGCGCCACAAGATGGTGGCGTCCGGCGGGAAAGGACCCCGTCTCCAGGGCAACGGGGCGGCCCTCCGGTCGCCTGACGGCGAGCGCCGCTCGGAGCTTTTGTTCGGCGACCGGCGTGGTGGTTGCCGCCCTGCCCTTCCACCCTTGCCTGGCTCGCTCACCTCTCCTGCCGTTCTCCCACTGCAATGACTGCCTCTCCTGCCCCTTCAGACCCAGAACGTATCCGACAGTAACTGCGAAAATTAGCAGGCGAAAGTTTAAGCAAAAACAGGATATCCGTCATCTCAGAGTTCTCCTAAAATATTTAGTAATTACAAAGGAGAAAATAGTTAATTTATAATGGCGAGTTGTGGCAGGCACCACCTTAACCAAATGATCAAGGTAGATCTCCCCAGGTGCAGGATATAGTAACATCCGGTACCACTGAAAAGGGCACCTCTGTCTTTTTTTTAATTTATTTATTTGAAAGAATTACAGAGAGAGAATATTTTTCATCCCCTGGATCACTCCCCAAATGGCCACAACAGCTGGGGCTGGGCCAGGCCAGGCCAAAGCCAGGAGCCAGGAGCTTCTTTCCAGTCCCCCATGTGGGTGCAGGGGCCAAACCAGTTGGGCCATCTTCCATTGCTTTCCCCAGACCATTAGCAGAGGGCTAGGTTGGAAACAGAGCAGCTGGACTTGAACAAGCGCCCAGATGGATGCCGCATCACAGGCTTTACCTGCTGTGAAACAACTCCAGCCCTAGTACCTCATTTCTGTGCTATTCCTGTTAGGTAGGAAGTCAGATATGAGCTTATGTGTGTGTGACAAAGGCCTAAAGAGAAAACATCTATGTCCAGCATATGCATCTCAAAGTCATCCCGATAATAACGTTTCAGGGGAAGCCCAGGGTTTGCATCCTGCCCTGCCCCCTTCTACCCGGTAACCTGCCAGGTGGGGGTTCCCGCCCCTTCCGTCTGATAATCTTCCAGATGCAGCCCAGTATCTGCACTTCAAACTCGCCCAGCCCCTTCTGCTCAATAACCAGGCAATGCCTGTCAGGCTTCGCCCTGTCTGATAACTTCAGGGGGAAAACTCAGGAGTTTTTCTATTTACATCCAAAAAGTCCTTTGTTCCAACAGGAGCAGAGGTGAGGAAGCAAGACCCATCTCCTTAAAAACCCCCCAGCCTCAACCAGACTGCATGCTCAGCCCTCTGCCTCTCTGCTGAGCTGCCCACCAGGCCTGCCCAGGTGTAATCTCTCCACTCAGCCATGTAACCCCGCTCTCCCCCAGTCCGAGCGACTGGGCGCTCTCTCTCAGGTTCTGTCTGGAGAGGTGCCCATCCATTCTTACGGATGTCCCTTCCCTAATAAACTTTGCTACTTTACTTACCACTACTCTCTTCTCACACCTGAATTCTTTCTTGCGCAAAGACAAGAACCCTGCCATTCTCTGTGGCCATTGCCACAGAATTGCTGAAAATATATAACTTCAATATAAACATCAGAAAAACAAAATTGAGTGGAATTCTACAAAATAATTGACAAGAATTAATCTCTTACTTTGTGTTACTTTGGAGGTTATCTGTGCACCTGCCTTTCTTTATAGGGAAGGGAAACACCAAAGTTTGATTCATTCCTTCCCTATGATGACTGCTATAGTGTGCAAGTGTTGCAGGGACTCAGTAAAAAGGTATAGAAATATTTTTTACACTTAGTAAAGTAAGTGTGAAAAATGGCACGCTACACATTAGCAGTAGGTCAGTGAAACATTACGATTTCCCTACTTTGCAAAGACAGAGCTACCCAGATGTCACAGGAAACAAATTCACCTGCAGAGCCCACCAGGTGCTCATAGAAGGGTATTCAGATCAGTTCTTCATTTCACGCTCCAATTGCTGCTGTTTATTAGTCAAAGCCCTTTTGGTGGCAAGCAACAGAAATCCAAAACTCACACTAGTGCAGTAGTGTGCGGTACAGCAGTTAAACTTACTGCAAAACTCAAAAACAACGTGTACTAGACAAGAACGATGCTTATGGGTTTCTCATGTGAAAATCCTGGGGAACCCAGAAATGCAGGTCCCCTCGTTGTGGCTCTCTCCCAGCCTAAACACATGGCTTCCATTTCGTGATCCAAGATGAGTGCTTCTGCTTCTTCCGCACTGTCCACATTCCAGCTATGTTAGTTTTGTGCTGCTGCAACAAGATGCACGTGACATTGGGGCATTCATAAAGAACAAAAGTCCACGATCAAGGTGCTAGCAAGTTCAGCTCTCTGGAGAGAGGAGCTCCCAGAGTCCACGATGGTCCCCTGATGCTGCATCCTCAGAGTTTCCCCTCCCTTTAATAAGGGCACCTAATCCCAATGAGTCCCCTGCAAATGAATTTTTGGATGAGACAAAAATACTCACACCAAACACTGGTTAATAGTGAATTTGGTGGGGGGGGGGGCAGAGTTGGTATTGTGGTACAGCTGCAGCAGTTAAGCCACTGCCTGCAACCCCAACATTCCCTAACAGAGCACCAGTTCAAGTTCTGGCTGCTCCACTTCTGGATGATGACTTAAGTGCTTGGGTCCCTGCTGCCCATGTGGGAAACCCAGATGGAGTTCCAAGCTCCTGGCTGGCCCAGCTCTGGCCATTGTGTCCTGGGGAATGAACTAGTGGAAGATGTGTGTGTGTGTGTGTGTGTGTGTGTGTGTCTGGTTTGCTCTTATTGTAACTTTGCCTTCCAAATAATTTTTGCTTTTTTTTTTTCTTTTGACAGGCAGAGTGGACAGTGAGAGAGAGAGAGAGAGAGAGAAAGGTCTTCCTTTGCCGTTGGTTCACCCTCCAATGGCCACCGCAGCTGGCGCGCTGCGGCCAGCGCACCGCACTGATCCGATGGCAGGAGCCAGGTACTTCTCCTGGTCTCCCATGGGGTGCAGGGCCCAAGTACTTGGGCCATCCTCCACTGCACTCCCTGGCCCACAGCAGAGAGCTGGCCTGGAAGAGGAGCAACCAGGACAGAATCCGGCGCCCCAACCGGGACTAGAACCTAGTGTGCCGGCGCCACAAGGCGGAGGATTAGCCTAGTGAGCCGCGGCGCCGGCCCATGGGCAGTGTTCTTGTTACCAGAGACAGCGTGAAACAGCCGGGGCCGGAGCCTTCCACCCTCCCCCTCCTGGGCATTGCTGCCAGCTGTTCTGTGACGCTGGCCAAGTGACTTCTGCTTTCTTCACTGTCATTGTCAAATGCGAAAGCATGTGGCCGGCACGTGGCTGTGACTACTGTATTAAAGTGGCATTAATCTGAAAACTCACTCTCCTAACAATCCGATCCCAGGACAGATGATGCCTCAAGTGATAGGGCACAGGAGCCTTTAAGCCCCTCCTGTCTACCAGGGCTTAGCGGACTGGGCAAAGACGGTGAGGTCACGGAGGGGATGAACGAGACCACGCAGTTCTTCCTCCACAGGCGCGGGTTTCCTCCCACGGCTTCGCATCCACAGGCCGGCCGGCCCCGACCCCCGCGCCAGCCGCACGCGCCCTGCCCGCCACGGCTCCCCGCGCAGGCGCAGAGCTGGACCAGGAAGCGAGTCCAAGTCTCGCGCGCTTCAACGCTCACTGCCCACCCGTGCAGGACCGGATGGAGAATTCCCAGCCGGTCAAGGAACGCAGCCGTTCCAAGGCTGCCGCCAGAGGGCGCGGGCGTCGCCATGTTGGCTCGGAACTCCGTCGGCAACGTCAGCAGGCCGGCTCCGGAAACGAAGGTGTTTGCCGTACAAGATGGCTGCGTCCCTTGTGACGGACGGGGCGAAACGCGCAGAGAGGGTCGTGGTGGCGGGGAGCGTGGCGCGCTGAGCGTAGAGACGGCAGCTCGGGTTTCTGTTAGGAGAAGGCTGCCGCGGCGGTGCCCAGGAGCTGGCCTGACCGCCGAGGAGGGCAAGGTGGCGGCCCACGCACCCTGAGCGCGCCCTCCGCTGCGGGACTGGCCTGCGCTCTGTCAGCGGGCGCAGGCGGCTGGGCGGGGCAGGGGGCCCCTGCCTCGGGGGTCCGTGAGGGCCTGACCACAGCCCCTGCGCCGGGGCAGCCGGGCATTCTTCCTCACCTTAAGCCAGCTCACACAGCCTGCGTTAGCCACCGGGGACTGCGGACTGCGTTAGGCCTCCTTGCAGGAGCTGTCTGCTTTAGTGTGTGTACCCGGGTGGAACCAACCCCGGGTACATGCAGGGCTGAGAGCACAGCGCAGGGGAGAGTACGTACTGATGCCACGGTTGGTGCTTTGAAAGAAAAAGGCTCACGTAGAAAGGGGGAAAGTAACCTTTTTTTCCCCCACCACTGAAACCAGTGGATAAAGATTCACGAGATTGAATTTACGAGGATAAAAATTAAAAAAAATTTAAGAACAATAGCTAAGTGTTTGCTGCAAAGAATACAGTTCTGATTGTATCCTTGAAAGCTAGACGCAGTTTCTACAGTCTGCTTTTTAATATGAGGTGTTTTTGGTTTTTTGAAGTTTTATTTGGAAAAGGCAGAGTAACAGAGAATAGAGAGGTCTTCCATCTTGTGGGTCACTCCCCAAAAGCCGGGAGGGAGCCAGGAACTCCATTCGGGTCTCCCATGTGGGTGGCAGGAAGGGGCTTCCCAGGCACATTAGCAGGAAGTGGGATCCAAAGGACAGATGGACTCCGTTCCAGGCTGTCAGACACGGATGCAGGTGTCCCAAGCAGCAGCTTAACCCACTGCGCCACAGGGCCCCCTGTATGAAGATACAGTTTCTGGGTAGGGTGGCAGATGCATGGACGGGGGTTTAACTGGAAAACAGAAGGCACTCGAGACCTATTTGTTGATCAGATAAATACTTTTCTGCTATATATTTTCAGTGGATTATTCAGTTGTCGATACATCTTAAGCCTTTAGGGTAGTTTCATGGAAAACAATGACGACATTGAATTAGAGTTTGAACCAAATTCTGCCCTAGAAAAATCTAGAAAGTTATTTCCATTACTTGGAAAACAAAGTTGTAGCAATTTCAGAATTGGCATTGATCTTGCATGTCACATATTTGGATGTGAAAGAAGTGTCAGTTTTCCATCATGAAGCAACTAACCATACTGAGCCTTAAGAGAAAAAGGTTTTACTTATTTTAAAGCCAGAGTGACAGGTAGAGAAATCCTCTGTTGGTTGGTTCGCTCCCCGCATGGCTTCAGTAGCCAGGGCTGAGCCAGGCTGAAGCCAGGAACTCCATCCCTGGCCCCTTGTGGGTAGCAGCGACTCGGATACTTAAGCCATAATCTGCTGCTTCTCAGGGGATGCGCTGGCAGAGAGCTGGGCCAGAACCAGAGCCGGGCTTAAACCAGGCACTCTGGAACGGAGGGCATGGGTATCCCAAGCTGTGGCTTAACCCACTGCACCACCACACTCACCCCAATGCTAAGCATTTATTAGTGTGGCGTGGACAAGAAGGCGCACTCACATGGGATAGTTATACATGCCATTCTGGACTTATTGTCTTCGGGTTTTGTTGATTTTGAAGTTATTAAATATGACCATGTAATTAGAAGTTAGCCAGGTTTCTTGCCTATACTAAATGCTTAATTAAATTTTAGCTATTATTGTTTTGGGACAACCTGAGTTGCTTGATACAGTACATTTTTGCCTCTGAGGCTTTGTGGGAATCTTAGAAATACATTAGTTCTGTAGCAATCTGTTATTATTTAAAGCTTTATTTATTTATTTGAAAGATTTACAGGGAAGAGAGTAGCAGAGGCAGAGAAAAGAGAGGCCTTCCATCTGGTGGTTCATTCCCCAAATGGGTGTAAAGGCCAGGGCTGGGCCTATACAGGCCAGTAGCTTCATCCATGTCTCCCACGCAGGTGCAGGGGCCCAAGGACTTAGACCATTTTCCGCTGCTTTCCCAGGTGTGTTAGGGAGCTGGATCAGAAGTGGAACAGCTGGGACTCAAACCGGTGCCCATATTGGATGCCAGTTACTGCAGGGGGTGACTTTACCTGTTGTATCATATTGCCGGCCCCTTATCTGTTATTATTTTTATCATCTTAGAGGCCACAGTGATGTAAGAGACATTAGCTTCTTATTGTGTACCTTTTAGTAAAATATTTTTGCCTTCAGACAGTAAAGCAAGAATTACAAAACCATTTTAATAAGGTCATTCTGAGAATATTAATTAGAAAAAAATAATCTGCGAGGTGGCAGATATTTGGCCTCTCAATAAAAACAGATTAAAGGTGCCAACGTTGTGGCATAGCAGGTTAAGCTTCCGTCTGGGACTCTGGCATCCCATATAGACACTGGTTCGATCCTGGCTGCTCCACGTCCAATGCAGCTCCCTGCTAATGGTCCAAGTGCTTGCATCCTATATACACATGGGAGATCCAGAAGAAGCTCCAGGCTCTTGGCTTCCTCCTGGTCTGGCCCTGACTGTTGTGGCCATTTGAGGAGTGAACCAGCAGAGGGAAGATCTCTGTCTCTCTGACTCTTCCCTTCTCTCTGTAATTCTGCCTTCCAAATAAATAAAAAATGAATATTAAAAAAAAAAGTGGGTTAAAGTGCCCGTGTCCCACATCAGGGTCTTGGCTCTGGCTTACTGCCAGTGTACGTCCTGGGAGGCATCAGGGGGTGGCTCAGCTTGGGTCCCTGCCTCCAAACTGAGATTCAGGCTCTTGGCTTTTGGCTTTGATGTGACCCAGCTCCAGATATTCCAGGAATCTGGGAAGTGAACTAGTACATAGGAGATCGCTCTGTGTGCCCGCTTCTGTCTTAAAAATAAATGAATAGGCTGGCGCCGCGGCTCACTAGGCTAATCCTCCGCCTTGCGGCGCCAGCACACCAGGTTCTAGTCCCGGTCGGGGCGCTGGATTCTGTCCCGGTTGCCCCTCTTCCAGGCCAGCTCTCTGCTGTGGCCCGGGAAGGCAGTGGAGGATGGCCCGGGTGCTTGGGCCCTGCACCCCATGGGAGACCAGGGGAGGCACCTGGCTCCTGCCTTCGGATCAGCGCAGTGCGCTGGTCAGAGCGCGCCAGCCGTGGCGGCCATTGGAGGGTGAACCAACGGCAAAGGGAAGACCTTTCTCTCTCTCTTTCTCACTGTCCAGTCTGCCTGTCAAAAAAAAAAAAAAAAGGACAACTGGTATGGTGGCTGGCACCGCGGCTCACTAGGCTAATCCTCCGCCTTGCGGCGCCGGCACACCAGGTTCTAGTCCCGGTCGGGGTGCCGGATTCTGTCCCGGTTGCCCCTCTTCCAGGCCAGCTCTCTGCTGTGGCCCGGGAAGGCAGTGGAGGATGGCCCGGGTGCTTGGGCCCTGCACCCCATGGGAGACCAGGGGAGGCACCTGGCTCCTGCCTTCGGATCAGCGCAGTGCGCTGGTCAGAGCGCGCCAGCCGTGGCAGCCATTGGAGGGTGAACCAACGGCAAAAGGGAAGACCTTTCTCTCTCTGTCTCTCTCTCTCGCTATCCACTCTGTCTGTCAAAAAAAAAAAAAAAATGAATAAACAAACAAACAAACACCAGTATTGGTGAGGATGTGAGAAACTGGAACATTGCGGTGCAGCCATTGTGGAACACAGGGGCCGGCGCTGTGGCACAGCAGGTAAAGCCATTGCCTGTAGTGCTGGCATCCCAAATGAACACTGGTTTGAGTCTGGGCTGTTCTACTTCCAATCCAGCTATCTAATAATGCACTTGGGAAAGCAGCCAAAGATGGCCCAAGTCCTTGGGCCCCTGCACCCACATAGGAAACCAGGAAGAAACACCTGGCTTTGGAGCAGCCCAGCTCTGGCTGTTACAGCCATTTGGGGAGTGAACCAGTGGATAGCAGATCTCTTTTTCCCTCTGCCTCTGCCTCTCTGTAACTCTGCCTTTCAAAGATACATATTTTTTTTTAATTAAACATAGGGGCAGAAGTTTGGCAAAGTAGTTAGGACACTGGTTTGAGTCCCAGGTATTCTGCTTCCAATCCAATTTCCTGCTAATGTGCCTGGGAAGGCAGTGAAGCATGGCCCAGATATTTGAGTCCCTGGTACCCACTGGGAGACCTGGGTGGAGCTCCTGGCTTCCATCTGACACATTCCCAGTGGTTGCAGCCTTTTGGGGAGTGAACCAGGAAAGATTGTGTGTATGTGTGTTTAAAGTAAACAGGTAGAGGAATACTGTAGCAGTAGAAAGGTATGATGTCCTTTCTCCCCATTGTAAGGGACACAGTAATACCACTGTAACAGAAGACATTAATAAGATAAAAGCTTAACTAGTTATTTTATCAAAGTTTTACATGACATTGGTGCCTTCAAATATGAAGACCCAGGAAGAACTCTCTTTCTATGTGTAGATCCCATTAAGAATGTACAGCCATATAGAACTGTTTGGGGAAAAGGGTGTGATCTAATGGTAACAGACTGGGTTGAGGGGAGAACACAGCAAGGCCAGCATGTTTAGATTCTTCTTGGCCTTTCAAGTATTACTTCCTCACGAGTGAAGGGCAGGAGCCCAGGTGGAATGAGGGTCTTGTGACCTAGATGTCTTTATGGCCAGCTCTTACACAAGTAGACATGGGAAGCTTTAAGTAGCATTTCTATTTTTAAAAGATTTATTTATTTATTTATAGGAGTGACAGAGAGGGAGAGACACAGGGAGAAAGAGAGAGAGAGAAAGAGAGAGATCTCTCATCCACTGCTTCACTCCCCAAATGACCACAATGGCCAGGGCTGGGCCAGGCCGAAACCTGTAGCCTGGAACTCCATCCAGGTCTCTCAACGT